CCCCTCCCCCCCCCCCCCCCGCCGCCACCCCCGCGCGGGGCGGGCCCTGCTCTTAAAGCGGCCGCAGTGGGTCCCTTCCACCCCCGCGTCCCCGCCTCGCACGCTGCCAGCGTCTTAAACGCACCGGCCTGTGAATGCAGCCACGCTCCAAAACTGCTGGTTTTTTTCCCTCAATTTCGGGGTGACGCACGCCCATGGAACGGCCAGACCCGGGATCAGACCTCCCCAGTGTAATAAGCCGCTGCCGCTTTAAGAAGAGCGGCCCCGCCCCGCCCCTCGCAAAGATGGCGGCCCCCCTCGCCTTTCCTCCCTCCTCCGGGATGGCGGCGGGCGTGACGCAGCGGCGCTCGCCGCGCTCCTCCCGCCCCAATCGCCCCTCCCTGGGTGCGACGCCTCTGATTGGCCCCTCCCAGGATTGGAGGAGGGGGTAGGAGAACGACGCGGTGATTGGCGAGCGGCCGGCGAACAGCGCGGTGATTGGCGGGCGGCCGGCGAAGAGGGCTGAGGTGAAATCCCGCGCGGAGGATGCTGGGGGCCCGTCGTGCTTTGCGGCCGCCGCCGCACCGGGCCTGGCCCCGGTCCGCCCTCAGCCCCGGTCCCCGCTCCGCCTCCCCCGGATAACGGGCTCCTCCTCCTCCTCCTCCTCCTCCTCCCGGCCCGGTCAGGCGGCAGGCAGGCCGGGGATCTGCCGTGGAAGGGAGGTGTTACCCGCCGAGGCGGAGGAGTTAAAGGGCCCCTGAGAAGGGAGGTCAAATGTCGCCGTGAGGCGCTGAGGAGAACCGGGTGTTCTTCGTAGAGCCAGGAAAGGACCTGCCGGTGCCGGTGCTGAGCTTTCCTGCCGGGTGGTGTATCAGCCCGGCGGCTCTCGGTTCTCCTTTACCGGTGCTGGGTCGCTCGGTTCAGGGAAGGGCCGGGCCGGTGACCGGGTTTCCCTCAGGACGTGGGGGAGAAGCTGCCTGAGGCTCCAGAAAGATGCAGTTCTTTGGTCGGCTGGTGAATACTATCAACAGTGTCACCCAAATATTCACAAACCCTTACCGGGTGAAGGAGGTGCCGGCTGCGGAGTATGCCGCTCACACCTGCCTGAGGGAGGAAGGCAGGGTGGCCCTGTATAAGAACAACCTTGCTCGCTCGTGGGATTGCCTGCTGGTGAATCCCCAGAACCCACAGGTCGCTTTCCGGTAAGTGACAGACCTTTAGCAATCGCCACTCTTGAGTGTGAAACTAAAGACCTGAAATCTCCAGTCTCGGGACCACGGTGCTTCGCGGCTGTGGGCGTGGGGTGACGTGTTTGATCGGGAGTGGGAGGCCCTTGCATGGGCTGGTGGAGAAGTCATCAAAACAGCTTGTGAGAACAGGGCAGGGCTGAGTCCAAACACTGTGAAAACAGGCAACCATGAAATAGGTACTTTGGTCAGAACATCCAGAGGTACATGTGCTTCCACTCGTACTTGTTGGTGCTTTAGCATCTGAGCACGGGATACTTCAGCCCAAAGGTTAACGTTCCTCAGGATGAGGAGGTGCTCTTCGCTAACGATGTAGGCTTCAATTGTTATCATCAATTAATATGTGTAATATGATTGAAATAACCAGGGAGCTGCTGAAGTCCTGTGCGCAGCCCCCATCAGTTAATATTTAAAATAGGGAAACAATAACTAGACGTGATTTAGGGTTTAGGAGCTAACTACTAGACAATGGGACTCTGTGTTTATGTCAGAAAAGGTAATGGATTGTGGTCTGGTCAATAAACCTTGAAGAACCGCTTGGAACTGTCAAGATTAGGGAAGAAGTAGGTAAAAGGTAATTCCTACAGGGGGAGATTGCGACCACTGACTCATTGACCACCTACTGAACTGATACCACCTACTCAAAAGAAGGCAATGAAGGAAGAAGACAGAGTCTGTGCACTGATGTGCATGAGAGGCAAAGAAGAACGAACCAATCATTAAGAAAAATAGTAATGAATATCTATTAGTTAAGTATATAAATATAAGAATTTTTGAGACAAGTGGGTACTGTCTTGAGACAGGCACCCGTTCATGCGCATCAATGAAATCAATTTGAAAATACCTCGACTCTGTGTGTTATTGGTTTGCACACTGTTTAAATGAACCCCGTTTGTGGGACAACACCTTCTTCCCTTGGAAGAAGTGTGACACCAGGTGAGGAGGAATAGGAAAGTCCCCGCACTAATGTTTGGAGAAGAGCAGTTTCTCTCAGATATGTGGGATGGAGGTTGTTTCTCTGAGCAGGACCAACGCTGTATTTGCCTTTCCTTCAGGCTCTTCCAGCTCGACAATGAAGCAGATGCCCTGGTGCGTTTTGAGCAGTACGCCGGGCAGCTGCGCCCTTTCTACGAGAGTGCACGCCAGCCCTTGTTGCTGGAGGATCTCCAGCAACTCAGTGACTGCTTCCGCAACCACCCCAGCTGGTCCTCGGCACACGTCGCGGTGGAGATTGGCCATCGTGAGAGCTTCCGGCACAACCACGTTCTAAGGCAAGGGACGGGAGGGGTCTCCAGTGGGCCTGGTGCTGGGAACGAGCTCGGGAGGGCAGGCTAGGCCAGATTTGGGTATCCCGGCTTGATGTACCAAAGCAACAGGGGCGGCTTCCTAGGGGAGCTTAACACCTGTGGTGACTGCAGAGGTCGTGTTTAAAAGTGCCAGTCTCGGTCTGTCTTGCCTGAATGACAGATGTGGTAGGAAAGGGGGTCTGATGGTCGCTGTGTAACCTTAGTGGCAGGCTTTCGACCTGCTGCTGTGGACGTTAAAGCCCAGAGCTCTGGTGTTTGAGCTAAAGGATTGAAGTGTTTTGCTAGAGGCACTAGTTAGATTCTTACAGCCCTGGTGGAGCTGCTTGTTGTAGGGGGTTGTGGCTGACTTCGGAAACCGTGAGAGAGGAGGTGCAGTAGGACTGTCTTTCTGGAAATGTTTTTTGGCCACAAGCCCTCATTCCCCTTCTGTGGGTAAGTTCATTGAGAATAGGGGAGACTAGTGAGGAGTTAGGGGACTGAGGGACTAATGGCAGCACCTCCGACAGATCTCCTGCCTTTCTTTGGGCAGGGTGAGCTGCTCCCATATGGGGGGCAGAGGAAGGAGCAGTGTGTCAGGGAGAGGGTCCATAGCAGGGCTCTTTGGTGGCCCTTCCCTGGCCAGAGGATGGGCTTTTCTGAACCTCGTGGTTCGCACCAGCTGGGCCTGTCACAGACATGGAGGGTATCTTCATATCAGCTCCCAGTGCAGCTGCGTGTCCTTGTCTTCGCAGCCCTTCCTTGGCCTCACGTTTACTCCTCTTTTGCAGCTGTGTGAACAGCACGGACAGCGAGGATGGCTGCACCCCGCTGCACCTGGCGTGCCGCAAGGGAGACATGGAGTGTCTGCTGGAGCTGCTGGACTGCCACGCGCGGGTGGACATTACAGACAGGAACGGGGAGACCGTTTTCCACTATGCTGTGCGAGGGAACAGCCCCCAGATCATCGAGGTGGGAGTGATTTCAAAGCTGGGGGGGAAGTGGGACTAGAGTGGGTCGTCTCTGTGCTGTGAGGAGGGAGACAGAAAAATAGCTGCAGATGGGAGGAGAAAGTCAGTTCCCTCTGCTGCAGCATCGAGTTAATGCTTGAGGCTGATTTCAGCCTCTTTCTTCCCTTTACTGGTGCTGTTTCCTGTAAGCGGGCTCCAGACTTCACATTGCAGTGGAACAAGGATATTAAGCGAGTTTCCTCAGAAAGTGTCCTTCATTGCTGTTTGCATCAGACCTTCATCCTGCCTTTCCTCACGCCCTTGGTTGTCCCTTCTCCTTCTACTCCGAGCAGGGTGTTTGGTTTGGGGCAGAGTTATCCCGTGGGGGAGTGTGTGTTTAGGCTGCTGTGGGGGAGCATGTGCTGCCCGCAGACTGACAGTTCAGAGCCACCCTGGACTTTCCAGAGCTGCAGAACCTGTTGTTTGAACTGAGCAGCCTTGCACAGGGGACAGCGATCAGAACCTTGAGGCAGAAACAGTCTGAAGCCAGAGGCGTTCTCAATTGCTGAGAAGTGCTGGGCAGAGTGACAGGGCTCATAAGGGTGTGGGTGGCCTTCCACATTGGTTCCTGAGGTCTGTCAGCTCCTCAGCACCCAGTCTGAGTGCGAGACCGTCTCTCCCCTACAGCTGCACCCCCTGACGTTTGCCCAATACCTGTTGTGACAGCTCTCTCTCTGCCTGCCAGACTGTGCTGGGGTTTCCTAATGCGTGGTGGGGGAGGGCTGATGATTGGGGCTTGCCATGCTGTGGAGCAGGGCAGTTAGGACCTTCGTATTAGAAAAATGTCCTCTTCGTTTATTTCCCTGATGGCAGCAAATTGGCTTGTTTTGACAGAAATAATTCTACATCTGATCTGTCTCCTGGATTTTTTTTCTTTTCTCTCTTGATTCCTTCCTAAACCAGAGAAAAGAAACTCTAAATTCCCTCTTGTGTGCACCAGGGCTTGCAGGGTTTCCCCTGTACAGCAGTGGGATATTTTTGTGTAACAAACCAGTCAGCAGGTAACAGGTCTAAAATTTATGGGGAGAATAGGAAAATTCCTTCAAACATATCACCACATGTATATTTTAAACAGAATCCTGTTTGTACCTGAAAGCAATGGTGGAGTTGCAGGGGAGGTTGAGCTCCTGCCTGCTGACTGGCTGTGGTAACTGACGGGCCCACAGCAGGAGAGGAAACTACTGATTTCAGTTAGCTCTCTCATTTGGTTGGGAGTCTGCTGTGTCATTCAAGGTGGTGTGAGCCCTCTTTGGCTGAGGGGTGTCTCAGAAGCACCCAGGCCGGAGGAATAGGGCACAGAGAGCAGCAATAAACCCTCTGGGGAGAGAAAACAAGGAGCGCTTCCATAGCTACTGTGTTGGAAGCAGGGGTGGAGGGGATGGGCTGTAGCACTGTGAGGAACCCAGTGCTCCAGAGTCTGTTGTCAGAGGTCAGGAAGAGGGACAGTGCTCTTCCATGTCTATTTATTTATCTGTTGTCTCCTCTTCCCAGCTCCTGGGCAGAACCCCAACTGCTGGCTTGGACCACCTGAGCCATGAAGGGCTGACTGCTCTGCATCTCGCTTGTCAGCTGGGCAAAGAGGACATGGTTCGGTCTCTGCTGAAATGCCATGCCAGCTGCGGTGCCATGGGGACGATGGGCTACCCCATCCACACAGCACTGAAGTTCTCCCAGAAGGGGTAAGTAACCACTTGGGCTGCCAGAACAGAGCTCTTTCTCAGGTCTGAGGACCTGTCTGCTTGCTCAGAGTTGTCCAAGACTGGACCCCTTTCAGGACAGTGCTCAGTAGGAGGACGTCCTGTGCTGTCCTCTGCTGCATCACCAAGTTGGCAAAAGAACAGAGAGGTGCTGATGTGGAAAAGAAAGAAAAGCTTTCAGAAGAAAAAGGGGTTTTGCTGAATTTATCTGCATATATTATTTAGTATCAGACATCAGGAGAATGTTTTTTTAAAAAATGTTTATGAAATACTTTTTCTCAGAATGAGCTGTGAGAAGATGATTTACTGATGCTTATATAGTATTGCCAATTGCTGTACCTCTGTCTTTGAGTGCTCTGATCCTAATAAGCTTTCATTTCAAAGCCTAGTTATTCCCATCTCCTGTGGGCCAAAGGTACTCTTGACTCTTAATAACACACTCGAACTGAATCAAAAGAGGCAGTGTTTACTCTCTGTTTTGTTTTCCCTGGAGAGATTTGATTCTCTTTGTATGTGCTTTATAATACTTAATTTTCCTAAAGTGTCCAAGCTTTACAAATAGGGCACTCAAGTCAACACTAGCTGCTGGTAGCTAATTTTCCAGCATTTTGAAAAGTGCTTTCCAACACTGGAGACACATTCACAAACCAAAAATGTGCTTAGGTCCCTTAGTTTGCAGTGGGGCTTGATCTTTTGTACATGGTTTATTTTGTGGTGTTTCAGAGTGGAGAGCATATGCTTGTTTCATAAGTCCCTACCCACGCTTTCTAGGCACTAGATACTAGTCTGTTGACAGTAGGTGTGATTTCTTTCGCTCAAAGGGAAGTACATAGATTCTTGATTTCAGCAAGTATTTAACTATTTCAGTTTTATCCCCATGTTTCCATGGAGAGAGAGGTAGAAGAGAAGAGAAGAATTTCCTCTCAGGTCCTGAGAGTTCCCAGAAATGCCATATTCCTGCATTGGAGATGCACACAGATATTGCTCCACAGCTTGGAATTGGGAAGGGGTTCTCCTGCCTCCTCCAAACGCTGTGCTGCTTGCATGCTTCCTGTTGTACCCTTCCTTTCTAAAAAGAACAAAACAAAACTGCAGCTGAGGAACTTGCAGGTGTTGCAGAGAGCCTGCCGCTGCTGAAGAGTTTCCTGAAAGGGCCTGGGCAGGAGGCAGGTGCTGATGTGAGTGGAAGTCTTGAGTCAAGACGGCAGCCACCCATCCCTTCATCTCATTGTTTTTGCCAGGTGTGCCCAGGCCATCCTCGAGGTGGATGCCAGCCAGGTTCACTCCAAGGACCCACGCTATGAAGCCACTCCGCTGCACTGGGCAAAGAAGGCAGAGGTAAATGGAGCCAGTCCGTGGCAAGGGTCTGTGCTGCCACACAGCACCCGTTTAATTCCTCCTGCTGCTGACCTCTCCCTTTCCTGAGTGCATGTGCAGAGCCCTGGGAGTGTCAGAGCCCAGCCGGCAGCCCGGCGTTTGCTTCTCTTTGCCCTGTGCTGATCAGTGCTGTTTGCCACGGGGGATGGAGCAGTGGAGCCTCGCAGTGAAACAAACTGGTGGGCTCATCCCTAGTATGTCATCCTTGGCTGTGAAACTGCCAGCTTGTCCCTTTTCCCTTTTTGTTGGGGAAATTGCAGCAGTGTCACTGTTACCCCTGGGGGGAGCTCTCTTCTCATTACTGACAGTGTCACTGAAAGAAGCAGATTGATGCCTTGAAAACTGCAGGGAGGGTGTGAGGTAGGCACAGTGTGGTGGCATGTGGGTTATGGTCCATCTTCTGCCAGAGATGGGCAGATCAGTGGTGTGATATGCCATGCTGGAGCACCGGAATAGTGTTTGTTGCAAGCAGAGGACATTCCTATGGCAGGACTGTTTTCCCTCCTGCAGTATGACATCCCTCTCAGAAATGTCCCATGGAGTTTCAGAGCAGACATAAATCTGCTTGGCTTATAAAGAGAAGATCAAAAAGCAGACTTTTTCCCTCCAGTCTGCAAGGATTCTGGCCTGAGCAGGAACTGTTTTTTCTCCATTGCCCTCAGCCACTTACTACGCTCACATATAAGTCCCAAAGCATCCAGGAGCTCTAGGCAGATTGTGAAACCACCAACTAGTTCTGTGGTAAAGGATAGAGAAAACCCATCTCCAGTGCTTGGAACAACGCAGCTGGCATCTGCCAGCCAGCCGTGTCCAGGCTAAGGGTCCCACCTCTTCCCCTGCTTTGCTTGCCATGAGACCTGGATCATTTGAGCTCCCAGGTCGTTATCCTCACAATTGCTTTCTCTTCTTGACCTGGCACGTGCATGCTTGAGCACAGATGACACAGCTGCTGCTTGAGTACGGCTCCGCGGTGAATTTGACCAGCCGGACAGCTGACATGGCTCTGCACATTGCAGTCAAGAGGGGACGCTTTGACTGCGCCATGGTACTGCTGACACACGGGGCCCACACCAATGCCAGGGGTCAGGATGGCAACACACCACTGCACCTGGCCATGAAGGTGAGTTTTCTGCAGAGGCTGCTGGGAAGGAGAGAGAGGATTTTCTTGAAGGGTTGAGGCAGGAATGGACTCCTTTGAAATTCTGGCTATTGTCTTTCATGGGGTGATCCCTTGTGGGTGTGTTGGCTAATGAAAAGAGGAGGGAGGTTAATGAGAAATCATGTAGCCAAAGGGAGTGTGGCCTTTGACTGAGCTTTCTCTTGTCCCCTAGCATGACCACCTGGATATGATCAAAGCAATCATCGTGTTTGGAGGAGATGTCGAGATCCCCAATGATTTTGGGGAGACACCAGGGCTGTTAGCTGCCAGGAGCAGCAAAGGTGAGGGAGCATGTCAGCAGCCTTACAGGGTGAACCCAACATCCTGTCTCCCCTTGGTGGCCAAAACAGTGTTTTGGGGAGAGGTGAAAACGTGCCAAGCGTGGGTGATGCTTCTCCAACGTAACGTGCTTTCCCAGCTTCTAGTTGCTCACAGGGTAGGCACTTCCTGAACTAGTGGTGTAAGCTTTGTATTAATACCCCTTGATGAATTTCTCTTCTATGAGACAGAGATGCAAGAGGAAAAGCTGTCACGCACTCACCCTCTTTCAAGCCACAATGTCAAGCACTGCAAGCTCACAACGGGATGACGCAGTGCTGCTGAACCGCCCGGGCGTAAGCAGACACGGGCGGTTCTTCAGTGGCAAGAAGTGTGTGGCACACACCCTTGAAGCTGCACAGTGTTGAGTACCGCTGCTGTGCACAAGTCCTGCTACTTGGTGTTCAGAGAGATACCTGGGACATGCTTTCCCCCTCCCCAGGTCATCCCAGAGGTTTTGTGAGGGTCAGGACTGCTGATGAATTTGGCAGACACCCCCGCTCCCCATCCTGGTGTGTGCGTGCACTGATTCTCTTTCTGATCTGTGACTCCCCCCTTCGTCACCTAAGGTGCGAACCGGAAAGTGCTCTTAGACCTGCTGCAAACTGTAGGGACCGAACGCTGCCACCCACCCAACCCTGACTCCCCAAGCCTGGCACCATCTGCCGCCTCCTTCTTCCTGGAAGGCCAACCTTCCTCACGGAGCAGCTTCAACAGCTTAGGTAAAGCCTTCCCTGGCCCTCCTTCACTCTCCTCCCTTCTCGCTTCACAGTGCTGTCTCGCATCTCTTCTTCAGATGGGCCGTGCTTTAGGGACTGTCTCCTAGCTCACTCTCAGTTTGTGGTGACTCTGTCCTCATTCAGCTGTTGCAGGATCCCATCTCTTTTCTCCGCTTTTCCTGTGTGTGTACTCTCAATTCTTGTACTCTAAAGTTTTGTTTTATAGACCTGACACAGTGCAGCTCTGTAAAAAGAAAAGGGAAGACTGGTTCCCTCACCCCTCTGGAAGAGCTGTAGGACTTAGTTGCCTGCACGTACTTTATCCACTGGGTCATGTACAGAAGGGGAGGTACTTGCTGGTCTGCCTTGAGGACCTCCCAGTGCTGGGCACAAGGAAATAAGAAGCGTTGCTCATTCAGATCCTGGAGGTCAGCAGCTGGGAGAGGGAAGGGATGAAGCCCAAGGATAAGCGATCCTGGTCGCAGGGTTTATGTTACGCATAGGAAAAGACTACCTTAGGACATACGATTGTGTTGTAGCTTGTGCTCTTGTACTGCCCAGACTCTGTGAATAAGTGCACGGGTCTATTCTAGGTGCTGGGCTTTCCTCCTCCAGGGAGCTCCAGAGCTTGGGCAGGGGCAGCAGGAGGGGTTACGGAGCGGGCAGTGGGTGAGCTGGCTCGGAGGGAGGCTCTGACCCTCGTGAGAGGGGCCTGCAAGCAGATAACAGCCGCTTGTGGTCCACTTTCCCACTCTGGTTGGTGGCTTACTTTGCAAAGGCCTTGCTGTAGGGCCAGAGGACAACCCCCTCCTGGCCCTGGAGTGCGTCTGTGTCACCACAAGTATCGCTGGCTGCTGACACCAGGACTTTCTTCTCACCATGACCTTGTGAAGGCAACCCCCCCAGTTTCAGCTCTGATGCAGTGACAGAGCAAGGACCTTTTTTGTCATGGACTCTGGCCCTTGAAGAAACTCCTCACCACATTCATCGTCATCCACAGCCACCTTCTGGCCTGGGTGGTGGCAGTAGTATTTAACTTCTCTCCCCCTGTTCTTTCTTCTTTTGGTTTCGCAGGCTGGCTTCTCACCTAGCCTGGATTGGTGCCCCACACCCAGGGTGGCCTGGGTGTACATCAGCTGAGGGGTAATGACAAGCCACCCTGTCCCCACAGCTATCCTGCCTAGGTTACCTCACAGGAGTAGATTTAGGTTTTATCTTACGGCTTGCAATAAACTGCGTAGTGGGCACGCTGCTAGGCTCTGCCTTCTCTCTCGCCTACTGTGCTCATCATCTGCTTCTACAAATCCTTCATCTTTGCCAGTGCATCTCCAGCTGCCTGCGCTAAAGGACGGGATTTCTCCTCCTTGGTGTAGAGTTTAATCTGGGGGGGGTACCTGGTGGCTAAGGGTAAGATGGCTTGTGTCTCCTGCAGGGAGCTTTATTCAACTGGGAAGGGAGCTGGATGTCCTCTGTGTGATTATGGTGGAAATCATTTACCACACAGGTGGGAGGTTTGGGTATCCTGACCAAGCTTTCTGAGGGCAGAGAGAAAGTAAGAGGGAAGGTTTTTTAATTAATTAAGTATGATTTGGTTGACTGCTGTCTCTGAGGCACATGTCAGAGGATTCAGGTAGCAAAGTGGTCTCTAATTTTTTTTTCCCTTTTGCATGTTCATGGCCCTCTAGGGTACAAGGACCTTCTGTATGTTTCCACAACACTTGGACAGTTGTTGAAGGCACCAGATGTTGTGGACTCACCCAGTGAGGGTAGAAGAAAGTAAGTGAGGAACAGCTTCTGTCTGGGCTCCCGTGCAACTTGAAGGTGAAATCCGTGTGTGTGAATTGTGCCCACCCACACCCATGGGTGTGCTGTCCTCAGAGCTGACATTATTTAATGTCCATTGACGTTGCAGTTTTTGCCAGAACCTTGTGATAAATCTCTGTTCCCATAAACGACCACCGCCTGTTCCTGCCTGCAGCCCTGGAGTTGCAGTGGAGCTTGACCTCAGCAGGTGAAACCCCTGCTCTCTCCCTCCCCTCTGCCACTGGGCAGCAAACGCTGTTTTGGCTTTGTGATTTCCCCATCTCCACGTGCTGCCCTGACGCTCACCCGGCTCCTTTGCCAGGCTGTGCACTGCCTCGGCAGTGCCTGCACCTCACCTTGCACGGAGCGGAGGGAGGGTTGGCACTGAAGTGCTGCTAGCAGGAACTTAGGGCTGTCTGCTTTTTTATTTATGACACAATACACATTACTACGTGGTAAGGGAATTGGATGCATTTTCAGCTTGTGAATGTGTGGTGTAGAGGTTAGAGGTGGCTAAAAGAGCAAGTGCTGTTGCACCAGCTCTGATGAGGCTTATCTGGCTGAGTCTGGTCTTACTTGCATCTGAGGAAGCACCGCCGGATTTATTTGTTCACTGATTACACTGTCCGCAGCAGCGTTCTTGTTTCTGGCATAGTTTCCCATCCCCAGGGCCATGTTCCCATGCAGCGTGCTGTGATTTGTGAGCTGTCCCACAGCTCCCAGTTATCTGTGTCTGTCTCTCTCCAGTCACGACCGCCTCCTGTGCCTGGATGGAGGGGGCATCCGTGGCCTGGTGCTCATCCAACTCCTCCTGGCTATCGAAAAGGCTGCGGGCCGTCCCATTCGTGAGATTTTTGACTGGATTGCGGGGACCAGCACTGGCGGGATCTTGGCCTTGGCTATTGTACACGGTGAGGACAGTGCAAATAATGGGCCCTTTCTCGCTCCTGTGGGCCCGAGGGCTCCTCTGTGGGGAGCAGATGTGGGGTGGGAGCTGCCTCTCTTGAGTCCCAACTGAGATTTGTTGTCCCTGCCAAAGGAGGGAAGAGATGTTTGTTAATGAAGGAAAGCCTAGACCTGGCTTTGCGCTCACTTCTCACGTCAGCTGGCCTTGAGCAGCTTTCTGGGTTTTGGGAAGTGTGTGGTGGCAGAGTGCAATGGTCTGTTCTTCCTGCTTTCTCCACGGGGGTTTTACAGCAAGGTGATCGACACTTTCTGGTAGTGGGAAACTATGCTCCAAGCTTGCCCTTCCTCTTTAATCCCTCCCAGTGATGCTGCTGAGGTTCGAGCAGATGACAGGCAGCTTGGGAAGGGGATTGAGAGTGATGCCTCCCATCTCCTGCTGGTCCTGGAAAGTCCCAGCTCTGATGTGCTGTTTGTTCTGCCTGCCCTTCCTCCTACCCCCTGCTCCTGCTGATGCTGTTGCCTGTCTCAGGAAAGTCCATGGACTACATGCGCTGCCTGTACTTCCGCATGAAGGACATGGTGTTCCGGGGGTCTCGGCCCTACGAGTCGGAGCCCCTGGATGAGTTCTTGAAGAAGGAATTTGGGGAAAACACCAAAATGACAGATGTCCAAAAACCCAAGTAAGTCTTGCCTGGGGCCGTGCTGGTTGATGCTCTTGTGAGTGTGCTCTAGACCCCTCTCAGCAGAGATGCTTAGCCTCTCCTTAGAGCAGATCTGGAGGAGTGTGATGTGCAGACTATTGAAGCCATAAGTACATTTTTTTTTTTCCATTTTACTCTTATTCTGTCATGTCCCCTCCCCCAGGGTTATGGTGACAGGGACGTTGTGCGACCGGCAGCCAGCTGAGCTCCACCTTTTCCGGAATTACCCCGTACCAGAGACAAAAACCTCCACTGAATACAAGACAAGCGCATCTTTCAAACCACTCACTCAGCCAGAAGGTAAATGCTAGCACACAGCAGTCTAGCTGGTTGACAGGGGAGGGGACCATCCCTCAGAGACAGAAGATTTCCTGTTCTTCCTCCCATTGCTCTGAAAATCAGAGTGGCTCAGCAATGGCTCATCCCTGATCTTGACTTGTAACTTGGTCCTAGTGATGGTTCTCTTTTCTCCTTTCTCCTCCTCCCTTGGCTTCTCTTGTACCAGGAGCCTGGGCTGGCTAGCAAGGTTCATGAGGAAGGGGTCTGCTAGAGGAGTCCTGCGTACAGTCAGTACCTTTCCCTGTGCTCTCAAGAGCAGATTTAACACAGAAAAGCTGTGTAATTGAAGCATGCAGCCCTCTCCAGCTTGCTTCTTCCTTTGTCTAGCAAAGGTAACTGGTTCACCAACAAAATAGCAGCAATGAAGCTGGTAGAGAGTGAAATTGACCCAAGATATGTAGAAAGTGGTGAGAACATCTATAAAAGCCCCCCAAAATAATCCTATGCATCCAAGCAGAGGCTCTACTGTTGGGAGAAAGAGGCACAACTATCTAGGGCAGGGTCTTCTAGGATTGCAAGCCTATTCTGCTTTGTGTTGGTGAAGGCGGGGTGCTTCTTGCACACAGGAAAGTTGCTGCAAGAGGCTGTATGCTTTCTCTTCCTGCAGACCAACTTGTATGGCGTGCTGCCCGCTGCAGTGGCGCGGCTCCCACTTATTTCCGGCCGATAGGCCGCTTTCTGGATGGTGGGCTGCTAGCCAACAACCCGACTCTCGATGCCATGACGGAGATCCATGAGTACAACAAGACGCTGATCAAGAAGGTGAGGGAAATCCTGTCCCTGACTGGTAAATGGGGCTTTATTGGCTCCATGAGCCTCCCTTGAAGGGGAAGAGGGTTTGGGAATGGATGCCTCTCTAGTGGATAAACAAGCCAGCAGTGCAGCACCCTAGAAGGGAGTGTATGGAGGGGGATATGTGTTGGGATGGTGGCTGAGAGGTGAAATACTTCTTCTGACAAGGGTGTGAGATGGGGAGGCAGCCCCATCAGCCTGTCCTTGCTACTTTGAGCAAGGATGATTCAGCTGATGGTTGTGTGTGGCCCTTGACGCAGCTATGCATTGCCTTTTTGTGCCCAAAAATAAATGGAGAAGATAATGGTAGGGCACTCTGCAACGCTGAAGAGCGAATGCCTTCTGTGATGTGGCAAGTTCCTCAAAAAGACGACTAACTACTGCCAGCTGCTGCTCCCTGTAGCTGAAAGGGGAGGTGTGTTGCCAAAATCACTGAAATAGTTGGACTGTTTCACAGTCATCTGGTCCTAGGACTCATCTTTGGGGTGATCCCATGGGTTTGGGTGCAGCCAGGGGTGTAAGGGACAGAATAGTGCAACTGCTGAAGTCATGTGGATTATACCTGTCTCTCCAGGCAGTACTGAAGGGGGAGGATGGGGAAGAGAAAAGGCTACTGAGCCTTTTGCCTTGGCTTTTAGAGCTGCCCCAAGACTGCTGTGAAAGACACGCTCCGCCTTAATTGCTGGTCTTTGCAAACAAATCTTTTCTTTGTCCACAGGGTCAGAGGCAGCAAGTAAGAAAATTGGGATTGGTGGTCTCCCTGGGGACAGGGAAGCCTCCACAGGTCCCAGTGAGCTCTGTGGATGTTTTCCGCCCCTCCAACCCTTGGGAGCTGGCGAAGACCGTCTTTGGGGCCAGGGAGCTCGGGAAGATGGTAGTGGATTGTGTGAGTACTGGGAGGAAGGGATGGAGGAAGAACCCTGGGGCTGCTTGCAGGGAGGGAGCAAAGGTTTTCTGTCTTCAGCTTCTTCCTTTTGGAAGAAAATTTTATTTCCTTGGAACTGCTCCGACCATGGCCAGTTCAAGGAATGGACGTAGTGGGTAACTTAAGAATTGCAGGAGCACAGCAGGTCTGAAGCCCTGTCTGCCTCTCTGGGGTTTTGGGTGCCCAGGGAGGTTCTTGCAGCTGAAAGGAGCTGAGGACAGGATGGTGATCAGTGACACTTAGGAACACTTGCAGGTGTGAGTTTGTGAAACTCAGTATCTTTCCAGGGAGATTGATTATTATCTGAGCAACCTGGACCAAAAAAACCCAAAACCAACAAACATGCCTCAGAAAACAGAAATTCATTTTTCTTTAGAAAAGCTGTTATCCCCACTGGGAAAATCAGTAAATGCTAGAGAAGTGGGAGTGTCAGTAATAAAAAGCAGTAGTTCAGAACTGTGGTTAGGAGCGTGTAATAGGCATATGTTCTTGCATGCTTCAGAAAGAAGCTCATTAAATGTTGTGCATGAAAACACTCCAAACAAATGAAAGCCAGAAAGGTCAGAACTGAGGTTCTGACTATAATCTTAATTCTGTTGCTTTATCTCCTTTTAGCTTGCTAAAGCCAGAAAACACCCAGAGAGGTCCCTCTGCTTCCCTTGTCTTTTATTTCAGGGCTCCCAGGGAGGCTGTCTCAGGATAGCCCAGAAACCCTGTAGTAATCATAGGCTCTGCTGGTACTGGGCTTGGACAGAAACAGATAGGGATGAAATCCCAAGGAATCTGATTCAGACCATCCTGGGGATTTCTTTAAGGGAACCCACTTGGTGCTGGGATGGATGGAGGATCTGTAGGGTGCAATTCCTTGTGTCCCAAGGATCAGGAGCACTGTTCTTACATGGAAAAAAACCCCAAATAAAAAGCCACCCCACTCTTGGTGGTGAATGGTGCCATCCAGGATGCACTTGCTCCTGGTTTTCCCTTTGCCTCTGCGGCTTGTGCAGTTCGACTTGGTGCCAGGGAAGCCTCTTGCAGGCAAGGGGAGAGCAGTGTGACAGTCAGGCTCTAACCGTGGGCCTGTTTCTCCTGCAGTGCACTGACGCAGATGGCCCAGCTGTGGATCGTGCCAGGGCCTGGTGCGAGATGACGGATGTCCCATATTTCCGGTAGGAGCTTCCTTTCCGCTCTCCGCTCAGACCTATTTTTATCCCTCTCACTTCAGACCTGGCTGTGGCATGCATCATCCCAAATAGTGTCCCCTCCAGAGGCATGCCTACCCCCCTGCCCCCTCTCCTCGTGCCTCAGTGACATAACAGAGGATGCCGTGGCCCGTATGAGGTGATGCACCCAGCACGCCTTGTCTGGGGTCAGTTAGTGGGGGCTCAGGGGATGCTGTCTAACAGGGTCCTTCGGGAATGTGCATCCTGCCCTATTCCACCATGCACAGCATGTTTTAAGACTCGTGCCTTAGGTGGTGCAGTTGCTGAACTGTGGCTCAGCCTTGTGTGTGGTTTTTCCTTGAAGGAGGGGGAAGGCCTCCGCTCTGCAAGCCCGCTAGATAAGGGCAAGCAAACACCCGGGACAGCAGGAACCACTTAAGAAAAGTCTTGCGCTTCGCAGGCTCACTGCTTCATTGCATTCGTGTCTGTGCCCAGCTGATGATGCTGTCTTGCTGTATGCAGGCTTAGCCCTCAGCTGCACACGGAGGTGATGTTGGATGAGGTGAACGACACCGTGCTGGTGAACGCTCTCTGGGACACCCAGCTTTACATCTACCAGCAGCGGGAGCAGTTTGAGCAGCTGGTGCGACATCTCTGCCGATGACTGATCTGGAGGTTCCTGTTCTGCATCCCAATGGCAAGGAGCAGCAGACACTGAAATGGCTTGGATTTGCCTTTAAACCGAGGTGTTGAGGTGGGGGAGGGACGACTACTACTAATAATAATGAGGAATTAATGATATTTAATAGACAACAGTACACATACACGTGTATTCCAGGACACACCCATGTATTCCCGGACAGCTGTGAAATGCTGACAGTTATCTTTGTACTGTAGCCCCATCTCTGCTGCTATGCTCGGTTTTGCTGCCCTGCTATGTGACCGTACAGCCCTTCCTAGAAGTCAGAGTCCCCACCTACCTGTTTTGAGCTGCAGAAACTGGAGTCTGTCTCCTATCTGTGCAGCACCCCCACTGACAAAGCACCGTGCACCTTTCCACATCACAGAATGAGCCAAGGCCAGATAAAGGTTCAGGGATTACTTGACCTGCTGGGGCCAAGGTATTTTGGAGTTTATAGTATGGGGAAAAGGGATTATTCTTCCCTCAACATGCCTGGTTTGAAGGGGAGAAGAAACACTGCAACTTTCCACAGTAGATATGGCACAGAATGTTGCGACTGGCCTTGGGAGAAAGGGGAACCTTTCCTGAGCCAGCTGTCTTCTGTAGCACCTTCCCCTTTTCCCCCCCTGAGATGGGCTGGCAATGCAGGTACTGACTGCACCCAGGGTGGGAGCAGATCCCCCCCAGAGACTGTTTTGTGCCACCTGATTTGTTGTGCTACTCTTTGCTCAAGGGCTGAGATGTGAAAGCCTGTCTTTACTCACAGCGAGCTCAAGATGAGGGACAATAGCCTTGGCTTGGTAGAGAGATCATTTCTCTTTATTCTTAACATGGAATTGAAATGCTCTGAGATAGCTTCTTTGGTGGGAACCTGACTCTGTGACAGTTTGGATTTACTTCTTTTACTGCTGGAAATCCCATTGTGACTGCTACACTACTCGGTGTTTCTTCAGTAAATTTTGCATATTTATAAGTAGTTTGTGTATCTATTTGGAGGCGTTTTGAGGAGTAACCTGAAAAACTGAATTGTTAATCATTTTCTTTTGACTGAGTGGACTGCTGTTGTGAACAGTGCTTCTATGCAAAACTAATGTGGCCTGAAATAAAGAGAGTTTTGCATTTGGTTCCACTGTCATGCATGGTTGTCTTGTCTCTCTCTCCATCCTGCAAGGTCCCAGAGGGATTCTGAGCTTGCAGCCTCTGAATTTCTTACAGGTAGAAAATCAGGAATTGGGCTCCTTGAGACACAGGATTATACCCTTTGTATGAGCTGAAGAGGTGAATGGCCTGTCCCTGCAGCCAGCCCTGGGAGCACATGTGTGGTGTGAGTGGCTGGCTGTCCCACGGAGCATAGCATGGCATGCTGGACTTATCAGTTGCAACCAGCGGAGAGGCTTCGGACCAGCTCCCATGTGAGAATCCTCTTAGAGCTGGTCTGGCCTCAAAAGAGGAACGCTGAAAACCCTTGCGATACAAATGACTGAAGATGGGGCTTTAACTTTGGTATCCCCAGGTGGTTCCTGGACAAGGTAACTGCTGCAAGCTTGCTGGACCTGGTGCCCACTGATTCCTAGGGGACACTGCTGGCAGGGGTGTGGGTGCTGAGTCATGAATAGGGCTGAAAACTGATTATCTTCCTTCTGATAGTCACTGTCACAAAGGAGATTGAGGAATTAAGGGGCTATTAATGTGGAGTAAAGGTTCTCTTTTTCCTGCATAACGGAGGGGCTTACCCTCCTGTGGAAAAAAAAAAAACCCACATCGTGGGATAGAGAGAACGTGAGTTCCTTTCTGCTTTTTGCCCCTGGCTTGCACTCTCCCCCTTTATAAGCCTGCACCATCTGCAGGGACTTCCTGGAGTGACGCTGTGCTCGGGCTCCTGGCACACAGGCAGGGAGAGCAGGAGGGTTCAGGCACAAGCTTGTGCCTGCTGTTTGGGAGTCTCGGAGAGACTGGGAGCGGGAGGGAGGCAAAGAGCCAGAGGACTGAGGCCTGGGGTGGGGGAATAGCAGCCAGGGAAGAGGCAAAACCTATTTTGAGCTTTCCTTGCGTTTCCCTCTGCCTGCTGCTACTCGCTGCCTGCGATCACAAGCTGATAGGGATCTCCTGACTCTGAGGTGCCTGCGTGAGAGAGACCTGAAGATGCTCCACAAGCACAGCGAGGCTGAGCGAGCCACCTCCGAGTGGTGGCGGTGATGGAGGCCGTGAGCCATAAGGCAGTTCTTCTGGCAGGTGGCTGGCTCTGCAGGTGTCAGGGCAGGGAGAGCTGGGTACTGAGCCGGCAATCAATAATTCAAGGAGGTGGTCACATGCCCTTGCTGGCTGTCGCAGGATTCCTCTCTCCCCAGAGTCCGGTTACTTCCAGAGATCAAGTTCCAGCCTCTTGGCTGGTGAATTATTAAACTCCAGCAGTGCTCCATTCCCTTTGTACCACATCTGTGTCTTCCTGCTGTCCTACCTTGCCAGTGACGGGCTCTTTCCATCCAGCCGGCTGTGCAGAAGCAGAGTCCTCCAGGCCGGTATAGCACCTTGTGCTCTCCTTTGCTCCTTGCTTCTCCGTGGGAGAGGGAAAAGGCTCTGGAGATGGACCTGTCCTACAGATCCACCATCTCCATCTATAAGGTGAGTGCCGACACCAGGGACTGCTCCTGTCTGCCTAGGGGAGACGTGTGGGTGGGAGGAGAAGAGCTGTTTTCTGCCAAAGGCTCCCTTGAAGGGTGGGTGGACAGCCGAGGGCTGGATCCGTCCCCAGGCTGAACTGCAGCAGCGCTCTGGAGTGTGTTTGAGAGCAGACAGCTGGCAGGGGGGGAGGGTGGTGTGGGTCTTAAGGCAGATCTGGGAGAGAACTGGGCAACCAGGGGGGTTTGGACATGGAGCATGTTTATGAAGGGCGAGACATCTTGGTTGCTGGTGGGAAGCTGGAGCTCAGTCAGCTGTTTTCCCCTTTGCTGGAAAGAGCAGTCTGAACTCAGGAATGCTTCCCTGCGCACATCGGTGCGACACCAAGGCAGTGAGGGCTGGGAGAAGGGGGAATTGCTTATTCCAGCCTCTGGTCTTCCCTGCTATAGGCAATAAACATCTTGGATATGTACAGCAGGTACGTACCAGCAGAGAGGCTGGTCTGAAACAGTCCATCTTAGCAAGCTGCTGATTCTGGCAGTGCACCAAATCCTGGCCAGGAAAAAGTCGTGTTCATGCCTGGTTAATAAGCGGTGGCCCTCACCCCAACAGACTCAGGGGTGAGGGGAAAGGCTGCCCAGATCCGCTTGCAGTGACTCCCCTGTCTGCAGCAGGTGTGGGACCCTGGGAGAAAGGCATCTTTAGGTGACCACTTGGCTCTCCAGAGAGCTACCTTGTCCTCTGGCATTGCTCCTCTCCTGGCTGGCTGGAGAGGACCCAGGGCAGCCGAAGGTCCCAGCTACCTCTGATACAGGGAGCTGACTTTGTGCATGGCTGTGCATCACCATGGCCATCCAGCATCATGGCTGGGGGAGCACTCTGGGTCCCTGCTGCACTCAGCTGAACCACAGTGGGAGGGCATCGATCTGCTGAGGTCTCTGGGATGTGGGGAAGACCGGTGTTAACGTGCTTCTGCCTGGCCGTAGAGTATTCTGGAGCAGTTCAACCCCGCGCTGGAGAACCTGGTGTACCTGGGGAACAACTACCTGCGTGCCTTCCATGGTGAGTGGGGTCTCGCATGGCCCAGGCTCCAGATCGTGCTGCTGTGTCCATCCTGGGTGTCCACTGTGCGTCAGGAGGCACTGCTGTCACCCAGGGCAAAGCTGCTGGTCCCCTCCCTGGCATGTCCTCAGCTGCTCTTACTCACTTTTCTCCTGCTCCAGGACCTGCTGCTGTTATTAGGCGCGGATGGGGAGAGATGGGGTGCCCTTGCATATAGGCGATGTACCACGGAGTGGCTGTCCCGTGTGCTGCTTGCTGGGGCTGGCGATGGTGGGAAGGCAGGCCAGATCCTTACCTCCCCTCTCCTCTCCTCACAGCATTATCTAAAGCAGCTGAAGTGTATTTTAAGGCAATCGAGAAGATTGGGGAGCAAGCGCTGCAGAGCTCCACCTCACACATGCTGGGTAAGGCTCTCCTGCTCTCCATCTGTCCTGTGATGAGGCACAGTTATGTTTTTTTGGCCTTCCCCCTTAGCTAGTCTCTTTCCAGATATTGAGGGAAGGAAGACAGCTCCTCTAAATGGCGTTTCACAGCACCAGGCCCTGTCCAGCCAGGAAAAATCAAATTTACTGTGTATCCCTGAATATCCCCCAAGGGCCCGCCACTCTCCCCTGTATCTCTCTGAGATCAATGACTCAGCCCAGCTCCTGGGATGGACATCCAGTAATGGATCTCTCATGGAAACCAGTCCTTGCTGAGGCATCCTGCCCTGAGATCTGAAGTTTTCTTTGTGGAGGAACCATTTTACTCTTCCTTGCAGGTGTGAGGGAAAAGCCGGAGAGCATGGACTGACAACAGCTGATGGGGTGTTGTCCTCCTGAGCCTGCAGCCAGCTGAAAAGGCAGCTCAGAGCTGAGGGGCTTACACTCAGCAGCACAAATAATTCTGCAGCCTAATGACCGCTGCTGAAAATATGTTCAGGGAACTGCTCTGATACTTAACATTTTAGTAAAATGACTTCCAGCAGATATGTCCCTTCTGCAGACTCCTACCATCATCTGCATCACCCAGCTCACTCTTCTGCTCCCTGTCATCAGTCTCTTCCCTTCACGGTTTCATAATGCCAACACCGGTGAAGTGGGACCGCGCACAGCATCAGCAGCGGGTGCTGTAGCTACTTTGCTGTAGGACAGCCAGAACCATGCACCGTAGCTGGGGTGCCACTGGGGGTGGAAATGGGGCTCGTAGGGGCTGCGGCAGAGCAGAAACCCAGCACCCAGAGCCCATGGCAGAGCCAAGGCTGCCTGCTGGCATCTGGGGCTGTAGCAAAATGCTGGTCTGGCAGCTTTGTGGGCTGGAGCAAGCCCATGTTGGCAGTGCCTGGGGAGTGGTGGTGGAGCTGAGCCCTGAGGAGGAAGGCTACCAGTCTCTCTCAGGGTGCAGAGAGCACTGTGTTGCGATATCTGTTGGACTTTCACACCCATATATCATCAGCCCGAGTTGCACGCTGCTGGTCTGCCTCCTTGAGCACACAAGGAAGTGGCCGCAGGATTTCTTCCATCCTCTACTGTCTCTTCCCTGCAGGTGAAATTCTGATGCAGATGTCCAACACACAGAGACTCCTGAGCTCTGATTTGGAAGTTGTGGTGAGTGGTTTTCCCGAGGGCTGGTGCAGGTGGGGAAAAAAGGGACATCCTTAACAACAGCTTGCCAACATTTGCCCAATTTGCCCTATCTCCTGCCCTCTCACGTGCCTGCTGGCAGATGCCTGCCTCTCTGCTATCCCTGCTGTATGTGACAGAGGTCTGTTACAGAGCTGGCATGCCCACAGCCTGGCTGGTGTTCAATGTTTTGTGCCGTTGGTGGACTGTCACCACCTCTCCACAAGCACGGTGGCAGGTGTGCAGTAGATGGAGCGATGCCTGATGTGCCCATTTCTGGCTTCTGTATGGGGTGGTGGCAAGAGGGTCACCAGCTCTGCGGGTTTTATGAGCTGCCCCTCACCACAGTGCATGTAACAGCCCATATGGTGAAGGGACGAGGGTGATGGCTCCTTCGTCTCTTCCAGGCTCAGACATTCCACGTGGACCTGCTGCAGCACATGGAAAAGAACACCAAAATGGATGTGCAGTTCATCAGTGTGAGTGATGAACTCCTTTCTCCTCCTCAACCCTCCTTATTTCCCTCTCCCGTCCACCCAAGGGCTTTTGCTTGAGCACTTGAGGTGTTTCCTTGACTTTCCTCAGCAGGAGTTAGGGGGACTTATCTAATTCTCCCCTCTTGGACCAACCCCCCCAGTCTGGCTGATGATGGAGGGCTAAAGAGGGCAGGCGACTGTTCTTTGTGCAGCGGGACTTGCCAAATGCTTCAATGGGGCTGAGAGACTCAGCATCCCAAAAGCAGAGTTCCCAGCTTCTCCAAACCACAGCCTCTGCATGGGTATGGGTCCTGTGCCCTTGTGGCCCAGCTGGCCATGCTGGTGGGTAGTGTCACAGAGGGAGACAGAGACCTGGGGGCTTGCTCCCAGTGCTGGGGGAGCTGGGTGCCAGTTCTGGCTCCTGAGATCTTGAGGTTCATCAGCACTCTGGGGCCCTTCAAAATGAAGAGAAAGGTAAAGAAAGACTTTTTATAAGAGGTCCAGGTGAAGCCTGATTTCAAGGGGACTCAGATGTTCCGCCACCCATCGGAGCAGGACCCTTGCTGCATCACAGTGTGGCTGGGTCTCTGGTTCCTCATCGAGCCTGCTTTCTCCCTGGCAGGAGAGCCAGAAGCAGTATGAGCTGGAGTACCAGCGCAGAGCCACCAACCTGGATAAGTGCATGGCAGAGCTGTGGAGAATGGAGAGGGCCCGTGATAAAAATGTCCGGGAGATGAAGGTGAGCATGGATTGCAGGAAGGGGAGTTGGAAAAAGAACTGGATGATTTCTCCGGAGCCAGGGCTGATTTCTCAGCAACCTTGTCCTTCCTTAAAAGCCAAGGGGTTGACCCCAACATTCAAAAGGCAGCAGGCTTGTCTGGAAAGGAGGAAACTCCTTTTCTACAGGGTGCTTTCTGACCTGTGGCGCTCACTCCTGCCAAGCCCTTTCCTCATTTAGCAAGCCTCAGTGTGCAAGGTCTTATTCCCTGGCACTCTGCTCTAGCTCCTCTGTGCTGCTCCAGCATTGCAGGTGGACTGGGAAGCTGGTAGATGCGACGACCCATTTCAACCCTTCCCCTGCCATGTGTGAGCCCACTCTGCTGGATTTATGCTGATCCCTTCCTCCCTCTTTCCCCTGTGGCCCAGGAGAATGTGATGCGACTGCGCTCGGAGATGCAGGCGTTTGTCTCTGAGAGCCAGAGGGAGGCTGAGCTGGAGGAGAAACGCCGCTACCGCTTTCTGGCTGAAAAGCACCAGATGCTCTACAACACTCTGCTCCAGTTTTACAGCAGGGTACGGCCCTGGCGTGCTGGGGAGCAGAGCTGGGGGAGCAGGCAGCATGGCTGGAGGGAGAACATGCAAGCAGGAGGAAGCCAAGGCTGAGCTGCCCCTCGGGTGAAGGCAATGTCTGTGTGTGGACTGGGCAGGAAACTTTCTTTCATTTCTTGCTGCGGGGTCCAGGCTGACTGTACGAAGCTGGGAGAGCGTGCCTGGGGCTGAGGATGGTGCTGACACAGGGTTAGCTGGGTGTGTGAGTGATGGGAGAGGAAAGGTGTTTATAGCAGGGTCTTTGGGACCACAGGGTCTCTGCTGGAGGGTGCCGTCCTAGAAATTCACTCCCGCAGGGCTCTGTTTGGCCATTCCCACAAACCTAATTGTGGGAGGACCTGGTCCCTCATCTAATGCATGTAGGTAGCCCTCGGCTCCCTCTGTAGCTGCTCTGCCCTGTCTGTCACCCCGTCTTCTTCTCTCGCTCCCCAGGCTAGGGGCATGATCCAGACCAAGGCACCACAGTGGAAGGAGCAGCTGGAGGCCAGCCGCAACCCCTCAAACAGCCACTCGCAGGGGCTTCTCGCAGCCTCCCACAGCCAGGGGTATCCATCGGGCCGACTTACCCCCACCCATCTTGAGATGGTGAGGAGCCCACAGACAGCCTCTACTTTGTTTGGTGAAACACTGGCACAGGTTGCTCAGAGAGGTGGTGGCTGCCCCATCCTTGGAAACATTCAAGGTCAGGTTGGACGGGGCTCTGAGTAACCTGATCAAGTTGAAGACGTCCCTGCTTATTCCAGAGGGGGTTAGACTAGATGACCTTGAAAAGCCCCTTCCAACCCAAACTATTCTATGATTCTACGGTGGCGAGGCTGCAGCTGCCCCTTTTAGGCTGCAGGGCAAGGCCAGTCCTTGGCCGACCGTAGTATTTGCTGCCTTGTCCAGCTTCCATAGCCTTTCCTGGCCAAGATGAAGGGAAGCGTCTGTGTGGGTTACAATGGACCAACATGCTGGGTTTGGCTTTCTGAGAGGGACTAGATATCTCTCAGAGCATGTCCCGCTTAATGCAGCCCCTGTGGATATGCGTTCAGCCTCTTTTTCTTCCAACAGCCCCAGAGACCCCTTGGGGACTTTGCTTCCCCCATGACTGGGAATAGATCCAGCGTCTTCTCTCCAGAGCCTCCAGAAATGAGACTGTCTCCTCAACCAGAGCCCCCCAGGCGGTCACTGCGGAGGACACCATCAGCCAGTATGACCCAAGTCCGGGAGCAATGCTGTGGGGACACACAGGGGTTGGACTGCTCTGGGAACAGGGTTGGGTTTGGGGAGAGACCACCATTCTGTCAGGCCACTGGTCCTCAGCCACGTTCCTGGGCATGGTGGGAGGACAGTGCATATGGGAGCTGGGGAGGGCAAGGCTGAATGAAGCAGAGGATGAGCTCAACCTTCAGAGCAGGGTCCACCCAGGACAAGGCCAGGCTTGCTGGCTCTGTGAGGTGGGGAACCCACAGATATACAATTTTCAAGGCTCCTTGAACCATGTGGGCTGGTTCTTACTGGAGTTCCCTCTTTAGTATAGCACCTTCCTTCATGCTACCGGATTAAATATTAGCCTGCCCTTCAAAACGCAGCCACTTACCTCATGTCTCACCTGCTTTTCCTTCCTGAAAAATTTAATTTTAAAGCATTTAAAAAAAATTTGAAAAAGGGCAGGGGGAGAGAAAAATGACCCAAATACTCAGTTGCTTGAGCAGGGTCAGGAAGAGGGCCATCAGTGAGGGCACGCAGTGCCTATGCTCTAGACATTTGGCCAAAGAGGTCATAACGTAAAGCAAATGGTTTCATCTTGAGTTGATTTCCTCCTGCAAGATGGACATTTTACCGTGCTTTGCCCATGCTATGCCCTGCTCTCTCCCTGCAGAGAAAGGCCATCTACTCCTCTAGAGTAATTACTTGACTGGGGAAGCACCGGTCTCTTCGAGGCAGCGTGGGTCTTGCAGGAGGATGCCAGACTCCAGCCAAACCCCTCGGATGCCTCCCCGCAGGTTTGCTCCCTACCGGCCGTATCTCCCGTTCGGGTTCCTTCGGCGAGTCCGGCAGCGGCAGCGAAGGCAGGAGGAGGAGCGGCACGGCGAGAGTGCAGGCGATCGTGCCCCACACGACGGGTGTCAACCGGACCCTGCTACGGTTTGACCCCGGGGACGTCATCACGGTGCTGATGCCGGATGCGCAGAACGGGTGGCTGTACGGCAAGCTGGAGGGCTCGTCCACGTATGTGATTTTTGGGGCTGTAAATCGGCCTGACGCATGCTTGTTGGGTCTGGAGCTGGGAGGCTTAAGCCTGAAATTATGTCCCCGTTCCCCTCCTGGTGTGGTCTGGGCACTGCGTCTCACCCACCATCTGTGTGGGACATCGCCTTGTCCTCGGTCACGGCCCGTGCGTAGCACGGGGGCTCTCCAAGCCGAGGAGATGCGGTGGGGCAGGGCTAATGAGGATGAGCTGCCTGAGAGAGTTCCAGGGGCTTTGGGTGGGAAAGCCAGGGATGCAATGACCCCCTCCCGGCTTGCATGACTGACTGACCCCTGTCATGGGACCCAGCTCAGGGCCGTGAACTGCTGGAGTTACCTGAGAGGCCTGGCATTTCTCAGCTCACACCGCAACCGCCGCCGCAGCCTCCAGCACAGGCAGGGCATGGAAACTGCTGCACCCAGCGCTTACTGAATTACTCCCTGTGGCACTGCTGGCCAACACCTCCGTGCAAAGCCCGCCCTGTTCCCCATGGGATCCCTGCACCGCGCTCTGCAGGGAAGCTCATGCTCAGATGTGAGATGAGCAAGAGCACTGCCTTTCTTTGAGGGGGGGTTCTAGGGTGGAACTGCTTTTCCCTGAGGAGGAGGGATTTCCACAGCTTCCTTCTGTGCTGGCTTTGGCTTCCTTGTGATTGTGTTCAGTCGGAGCAGCTCTTCCTGGATTGCGCCAGTATTGCTCCCCGGGAGCATGGATTTTGCATGGCCTCTGAGATAAGCGAGTCCCGCTCCAAGCTCAAGGACTGCCTCGTGATAACCTCGTGCCCCACCTAGGGAAGGGTAAAAGATGTGCAGAAACCCTGCCAGGCGTGGTAGCGGCAGCAGCGGCTTGGTTGATGCGTGGGATGGGTGAAGATCAGGAGCACTGGGCGGCTGGATCTGAAGAGCCACAAACCATGGTTGCCTGGAGCTCATTTCTCTCTGCTTCTGTGCCCTAGATGCGGCTGGTTCCCTGAAGCTTATGTCAAGCCTCTGGAGGATGCGAGGGAGATGCAGGAGCCAGCCACCAGGTAACAGGAGAGCAACTGGCCAGGCAGGAGCTGGAGTGGCTCCTGGTAGGTCACTAACACCAGTGGGGTACCCGTTTGGGGTGTGCCCCGTGGAGAGCTGCAGTGCTCCCATGCTGGAGCATCTGCTGAGAACCTCGCTGTGCCCTGGAGATCACACAGGCTTACCCTAGATGGCTCCCCTAAAACAGGCAATGTCTTCTGAAAAGTGCTTGTGACTGGGCCGGTCCGAGCTATGTGTATTTTCTCCACAGACATCCCATAGATACGTGTTGTGACTAGCACCTATGCTGCTCCCTATTCCTTGATCTTTGACTCTCACCCCACTCTCTTCTCCCCTTGCTCAGGTCCTTCCCGCTGCGAAGCAGTCACAGTATGGATGACATCCTGGACCATCCCAGCACTCCCTCCTCTAGCAATTACTGGCCTGCCGCTGCCCAGCCCAGTTTGCTGAACCCACCTCCCCTCTCGGTGGGTGCCAGCGGTCACCAGAGTGGGGTGGCCACCCCCGTCAGTTCTGGCTCCAAGGTGAGTGTGGGAGAAGTGACTGGTGGGTGTGTATGGTGTGGGCCATGTCTGACTTTCATCCTCCAAGGCACATTTTTTCTGCATTGGCCTGTTGAGAAAGAAAAACACCTTCCAGATGTTGGTGTGTGACCTCCTCCCTTCCTCAGCTAAGGGGTCTTGTCAGCACTGGCCTTTTTCACCCAGTCTCTTTGTGTGCCACCATGTCCTGGTGGCCCCTGCCAGTCAGCCTTGTGTGTGCAGATCCTCAGTGCCTGCCTTTGCTCTCTCAAGGGACTGCTTTTCTGCCCCTGCCCTTCTCATTTCTCTCTCTTTTTGCTCACCAGGGACCCTTCAGTTCAGTCCTTTTCTCCATGACCTCCCAGCCTGATTTCTGGTGGCTCCAGGGCAGCACCTCTTTCTGCTAATAGTAGGACCATGGAGTGATCAGGCTGGGCTGGGAGTGGGTGACCAGCTAACAGAGATGCCATCCTCCTTCTCCCTTCAGAGAATGGAGAGGTGTTTCGTAGGGCTCCTCTTCTGAATTCAAGCAAGGGGTGGGTTAAAGTCACAGCTGGGGTAGAGGAAAAGCTGAGGGCACAGGCATTTTGGAGAGCCTTAGAACAAGTTGTGTCCAACCCGTGGCTTGTGGGTGGTGTACGGAGAAGGAAACCGTCCGCTTATCACTGCTTCCAGCTGTGGGGAATTGACTGGTGAGGGCAAAATTAAAGTTGAGGACAGTTAAAGGTGAGGACCTGGGAGAGGGTTAATGGTGCTGCCCATGGAGCGTTACTTGCTCAGTCTCATAGGAGGCTGGGAAACCTCATCTCTGGTCGCTGGTTTCAGGCCAGCGTGAGGTTGCAAGCAACTGGATGGCTCAAAGGATTGAAAAATGCAACATTTAATTACGCTTTTTTCCCTTCATGTCCTGCTCTGTGGTTTCAGGGAGCCTTAGGCTGCACAACACAGAGGGGAACAGGCTCTGCGGGTCATTGGTTTCCATCCTGTCCCAGGGCTAGAGTGTAGGGATAGACCTGGGATTGAGCAATGAAGGGTGTGGAGCATTTGGAGTACCATGGCAGAGCGACTGAGCCTCATTAGAAGTTTGGAAAGACTCAGCCTTGCTCTAAACTTATGCCCAAGACATCCTCCAGTTGAGCCAGGAGCAAATGGGTGTGTGTTTGACTTCCCAGCTGGAACACAGATAGCCACATGTGGCTTGCTTGTCTGCCACCAGCTACTGACATACTTTAGCAGGCCAGTTGTCACTGATCTTTCACTATCTACTGGCCAAGAATAAGGGCCACAGGGCCTAGGTCCATCTTCCCTCATCAGGTTGGTCCACATTTAAACAGTATGTGGTGTGGGGTAGGTAGCTACAGCTCTTGAGTTCCCCATGGATGCAGGAAGCATGTGAGGGTATTGACGATAAACTCTTTGCCAGGGTGTGTGGGCAACATGAGGGGGGCATCTCTGGCTGTGCTGGCAGGGTGAAATGTAGCTCAGACTGTCACTGTTTGCTGTGCTCTTCAGACACGACCCTTTGGGGATCTGAGGCATCTACTTTCTTCCCCAAGACAGAGGGAGGTGTCCTAGGGGAATAGGGAACCTGTGGTGTAGGGACAACCCCCACCACAGAAATCAGGGTGTTATCTGTAACGGTGAATTTGTGGGACTATGCAAAGTTTGAATGAATAAGGAGTCAGAGCCCCATTAATAGGACTTGGGCTCCTAACTCACTTAAGTGTTTTGTGAAATCTTCCTCTGTGTGTGTGGTGTTTCCTGCCCCGCTTTTGTCTCGCCATTCCCCCCCCCCAATCACTCACTGCTGCCTTTCTTTTCACTGCAGAAATCAGGAGTATTTGACCAGCCCCCCGAACTCTTCCCACGGTGAGTGATGCATGGGGCTGTGCTCTGGAATCATCAGACAAGGGGGCATTAATACAGTACTATTATTATTTAATCTTTTGGATTATCAAACATGGGAGGAACATGAGGTGTCTGGAGGAAAGCAATGCACAACCCACCTTCCAGGACAGGAGGCAGAGGTGGGCCATTCTGGCCTCTACTGACTGGGAAGGCTCTCTCCTACCGCTGGTAATAGCAGGCAGGACCTGAGCACCCTGAGCAGATGGCCAGACCTTCATGCTCCTTCCCTTCCACCCTGGAAGAGCCATACCAGCAGCTTGCAGCCTGAGAGTGGAGCTAAATGATTTGTGCAGCTCTGCCTGCTTGGAAAGGACTGAGGCATAAGGGATGTGGCTTTCAGCTTTGATGAGTCAGGTCTGTGGAGATGAGAATTGCCATAAATCCCTGCTTTCTTTCTCCCTGAAGCTGGGTTTTTGTCTCCATGTTTCTGGCATGGTGCTGTGGCCTCTTTCCACTCCCCGGCTCCTTGCTTGGAGGGTCAGGGGCCAGAAGTGTAGAGTGCTACCGCAAGGGACAGCCTTATCAGCCTTATGCTAGGGTCCCTTTGTCACCATATGGAAGAGGGAGGGTGAGAAACCCTGAGGAGAGCCCAAGGGGAACCACATGGGAGAAAATATACTCAGCAGAAACCATTACCACACTTCCCTCCTCAGCATGGAGGTGGCTGTCGGGCAGGACTAAATAACCTTTGCTTGGTCAGCAGGACACTTGTGTGGTCTTTGCAGATTTCCTGATGGCTGCCTGTTTCCTTTCCCCTTCCAGAGGTACCAACCCCTTTGCCACAGTCAAGCTGCGTCCCACAGTCACCAACGACCGCTCGGCACCCATCATCCGATGAAGCGGGGCTGTGGACGGCGGAGAACCTCAGCAGGGAAGGGGGAAGCATACTAGTGACGAGCTGCAACTCCCAACTGGGCAGTGACCTAGTGCTACCGCTCACAGAGTAACCTCTCTCTTCCCCTCCCTTCCCTCCAGGACATCGGGATCCCTCTCGCCTGCCTGTCTGGCATGCTTTAGCCAGCAGCAGACCCCTGCGGCTACTTTTGGATTGCCTCCCCCATTCCTTCCCCCGTCCCGTGTGATGTTACTGTGCTTTAGTGGGAGAACTCTGGCTTTACTGGTGCTGGTGGCCTGGGAGAGGGGATGCTGCTGGTCTGGGAGGCAGAGGGAACCGATGGGTAAGATCATCTGCAGCGTGGGGAAGTGCTAACAGGATGACGAAGGCGAAGCTTTGCTAGCCCTGTTGGGGGCAGAGAAGGACACTCGCCAAACAGTCCCTTTGCTACCAGAAAAGTTAACCCCAGATGGAGGAGGCCACAAGAAGGCTTCCAGCGATGTGGTCCAGCCAACGGGTTCTGCGGCGTGCAGCTCTATGCTCTCGGTCCCTTTGGCAACCGTGTCCGTTTGTAGCAGCATCTGCCCCTTCTTGCCCCCGGTGCAGCCCCTTCCCTTGCTGGGCAGCCCTGGGGCAAGGTAGGGGCAGGTGACAGTGCCCAGCGCCACTGCCCTGCTCCTTCGCCTAATTGTCCTGTGGAAAAGATTTGTTTGGGGTTTTTTTGTGTTTTTTTTTTTAAATAAAATGGAGAACGCCACTTCTGTAGCCGTCCCAGTGGCTGGGACGTCACCTCGGTCAGGGGACGCAGCGGGGAGGAGGCCGTGGGGTCCCCGCCAGCACTGAGGCCGTGACGGTTGCCCGTGGTCAGGGTGTTGAACGCCGCAGTGCTGTGGCTTTGGATGGGGCAACTGCCAGCCCAGGGGGCCAGGGTGGACATAGAGGGCACCAGAAAGACTGCATGACCCACCGCTGGCCCCCCCGACCCCCCATCCCCAGGCTGTCTTATCGCTGGATGGCAGCAAGCCCCCACTTATCAGCTGCCATGCATGGGCAGGCCCTTGCCCAGGAGGACAAGGCCTGGCAGCCATCTTCTCCTTGCCCACTGCTGGACCCTGTGCCCTGGGGACACCCCGGGCGTTGCTCGGTGTTGGGGGGGGGGAACTCTCCCCTGGGAGCTGTGGGGGTCCCAGCACCGGGGATGCCCTGGATGTGCTGGGGGAGCCCTCATGGGAGAGGCGGCGAGGGAGGGAGCGAGAGTGACAGCCAGGGCTTTAGCCGATTAGCCTTATTAATAGAAATTAAACCCTGGCTGTGAGCACTGCAAAGCCCCCGTGTTCCCCCCCCAGCTGCCAGGAGGCTGAGGGTCTTTGGGGGTTTACGGTCCGGGTCTTTCCCTCCCCAAATCTCCACCTGGGGTGAGCCCCAGTCCCCTCCCTGGAAGTAAAACGGGTTCCCCCACGTGCGGCTGGAGACTGGCTCATCCCCAGCACCTGCCGGACCCCCTTCCCCGTGGGAGCCACTGAGGGGGGTTGTTTGGGGGGGGTGAGTGGTTAGTGAGCTGCCAGGGGTGGGCTGGATCTGGCACTTCGAGCCATGGACGACAGCAATTCCTCGGCCAGTTCACCTTGTCTTCCTTGTCTGCTGGGCACGGGGCTCGCAAAACCACGCCAGCGTGTCTCCATCCTTCTGACCGGCGCCTGGGGAAGCAGCGGGGGGGCTTTGCAGGCAGCCCCTTCCCCCATTTTGCTCCTTACTGAAGCACGGGCCCCTGCCCTCATCCTCCACTGCCCCTCTCCCCGGCACCCTCCCTCCTGGCTGTGTCCATCACCGGCACCCCCATACCCTCACCCCGCTTTCTCCCACCTCACCCCCTCCAAATCTCCCCCGTTCTGCTGGGGCAACGGCGAGGAGCCCCATGGCAGCGGGATTACCGGGGGATTCGGGCCGTGGCAGGCAGCCACCTCCTCCCCATTGGCTGGAAAAGCCTCTTAAAAGTGGAGAAGTGCTTTCTGCCCGCTCAGCACCCGCCAGTCTCCACCGACCTGAAACCATAAGCGGCCGCTGACCCACATCTACGCTGGGAGCACCGTGGGGGTACTACCTGCACCTGCAGGAGGCAAGGGGGTCCCCTGCGCGGGGCGTCCCCCCCCGCTCCGATCAGCCGCAGGTGGCTTTGCCGGGCAGCGTCGAAGCCGAAGGAAAGCAGACTGAGAGGGGGATTAGCTCTCTTGTGAAGACGTAGTTTGCCCTGAAGGAAGGAGCGGGGCACAAGAGATCACTCGACGGACCCTGGATTCCTGCAGGCATCCCTCCGTGCCCGGCTGACGGCGTGCCCACCATGGAGCAAAGAGCCAGCAGGACCATCTAACCCGGTGTCCTCATCCGGAGCCGGGAAGTGCCAGACAGAGGGAGAAGGGAGTGCTGCCGACGGGTCCGCTCAGCCCGTGTTCGGGAGGTCGTCGCTTTGTCGCGCAGGTCAGTGGCGCGGAGGGATGTTTCCATCCTGGCACTGGCTGCCGAGGGGACAGCTCATCCCGCGCTCGGTTAATTCTCTAACAAATGCTTTCCCAGGGTGTTGTCTGCGAGCTGGGGAGGCTGGTGGCATGAATCGTGGCCCTGGCGTTTAATAAACAGACACCCCCCCCCGCCACCCCATCCGTATTTTGTGGAGGCACTAGGAGCCATCCTAGTAATTCTGCGGACCCTCCTGGATGCAGCTTGCCTGGCACAGTGGGGCTTTGCCGAGCATCATCCAGCACCGGCTGCTCTGTGCTCCGTGTGTGTCCAGGGACCGGCAGCCACAGCTGAACCTACTGTGGCCTTCGCCATCCCAGCCTGGGCTTGTGACTTCTGGTTGGCAACCCAAGCCTTCTCCTGGCACCTAGCTCTGCGGCAGTGCCTGCTCTGGCCCGCCTGCCTGTGATGCACGGGGAAGGGCAGGTGCCCATGTTGATGAGCTTTTAGATGCATGTGAACTTACACATGGTATTTTTACCTGTGAATAAAGCTCCTTAACTGAGGAGAAAATAATAGCAAGCTGCAGAGTGTGCAAAGGCAGGTGCAGGGTACACGGCGTGACCGCCGTGAGCAGAAGAGCTAGCAGATGTGCTGCGGTGTTAAGAACAAGGCAGCTCTGAACTGCCTGGCTCAGAGCTGGGATAAATCCCGAGCAGAGCTGTGCTATAGCGTATTGGCCTTGGAGGCATCTCCACAGGTGAGCTCCTCCGGTGCACCTCATCTTTTTCAGCCAACATCTAGCTGCAGGCAGGTAAAAGCCCTTTCATGCCTTGCTGGATGGTTCCGTAGCACCGAGCAAGTGGCTCCTGCAGAGGTACCCACTCAGCTCCAAACTCAGAGAGCACTGATGGATATTTGCCTAACGTGCTCTTCAAAATCAGGTGCTGTTGACTCCTCATTGACAGGCGATGCTACAGAAATCGCTAAAGAGCATGTCACAGGCAAACAAATATTTTCTTGCTAGGAAGCTGGGGGAAAAAAAAAGATGAATTGCAATGGTTTGATTGATTCATTTCATTTGTGGTGCAGGATGAAATCAAGAAAAGCAAAGCTGGGAGAGGGGCTTGGATAAAAGGGCTCAGGGTATTTTTGGTGGCAGTCACTCTTATTTGAAGTAGCTATGTGCAGCAGATGGTGCAGTAGCAGCACTGATTGAGAAATCGTTGTGCTTTTACAGCAGGTCACCTTTTGTACAGCTGTACCTAGCTTGTCAGTCGGGTGGAGCTGGGAGAGGAGCAGCAGGCAGGTAATGGCAGAAGCTGAGCAAGACCCTTCAGTCTGGCTTTCTGGGTGCCAAAGATCCAGATAACGCCAGAAACGGTGTGGGGGGGGGAGGTATGGGTGTCTGGAGAGTGTATAATTAATTTTTTTCTTCCTTGCAATGATTCTTTGCCTTGAAAACGTCTTTATAGCACCCTGTTCTCAGTTCGTGCCTCTGCCCCTTGCCACAGTCCCTGAGACCTGGGCTGGGGGGGAGAGACTGGAGTAGCCGTGGTTCAGCCTGAGAGCTGTTAGGATATGGCCATCCAGAAGCATGGCCCCAATCCATGCTCAGAGCCAGATCCTGCTCCCTTTTTTTTTTGGTTAATGAGGTCCTGAAGGTTTGGGGAGCTCTGCTGCAGGGACCCATGGTGGTGGCAGACACCTGGGTGCTGCACTGAACAACCCCCCCTTTGCGTTTTCAGGAGCAAGGGTCTCCCAGGGAAGGGAAGGAGGGATACCGCTGAGGGTGGCTGGTGACTCTTATCCCACCCTTCCCTCCACAGGTAAACCTTGGCTTGGGCACCTGATTAAAACCAAGCGGCCAAGACCATTTTGTGCCTCCTCCTGTTGAAGCACTGTGGGCACAGGTGCCCTGTCCCTTGCTGAGGGGTCCAGAACTGACCTAGTTGGCTTGTCTTGCAAGTCCCTCCTCCAGCATCCCCTAAACTACAGTTTTAGACCCCTCTCAGAGCAATTCCCAGCCCCGTTTCCAGCCTTGGCTCTGCATGCTGAACCTCCCGCAGCCTGAGAAAGACCAGTCAGTCGCTCTCCTTCTCTGCAAGATTCAGGGGTGTCACGGGGTAGGACCACCTCTTGCAAAGCAAGGGCCTTTACCTGGGCTCTACCCCAGCTTGTGCCATCCGTGCTTTTGCCTGAAGGATTCGCACTTGTTTAACGTGCAGAGCCACAGCAGCTATGGAAATCAGGTCAAGTTGTCCCCATTGCTTGGAAGACATGAAGAAGAGGGACTTCTTTGAGAAATGCACCCAGATCCAAAACTCCCAGGCACTAGCCCTGTGTGTCCCATCTATAGGAGTGTCTTTGTCCCCTCGGCAGTCTCCAGTCAGTACGTGACCGCTGGCATTTCCCACAACTGCCGGTGCCAAGGGAATGGGGACATTGCCAACCTCTCATAGTCCTTCAGCCGAGGGAGCTGGGGAGGAGAGAGGACCCATGCTGGGAGTGTGCTGCCAGGCAGGACGGTGACAGGGCAAACTGGACCTGACAAAGCCCAGTGCAGGCATGGAGAAAGCCCCCATGTTTTCTAATGCCTGTCTGATGCTACTGGGGAGCATCTATAGTCAAAGTCCGATGATGGTTTTGCATATAGGTACGAAAATAAGCCTGGCTGACCAAGAAACTGAGGCCAGTGGTGCTGGAAGGGGTATGGCAGAGACCTGGTGCCTAGGGGAGAAATAAGAAAAACAGACCCACAGCAGCCAACTGGAACAAAATTCCTGTGCAGCTTAAGAGCCCCAAGAGCGACTCACAAGACATCCCCTCTAATTCCTTTCTTCTCCCCCCCTTAGGCTTTGTTCCGGCTCCTCCATGTAGGTACAGAGCCCTAATCTCTCTGGCATGCAAATAACCACCGGTTTGCTGTGCTCTCCCCCTTCACCCATTTCCTAAATCTGGCTCCTCACGGCAGGGAAGGGAGGGAGAGGGAGAAGGCTGTACACCCGGGCCTCCCAGAGGAAAGCACAGCAGGCTTAATGGATCTCCTGTGCCTCACCACTGGAGGCTTCTGTAGCAGGGCAGGTCCTGGAGGGCTCCCAGCTGGAGCAGACCAGGATGGGAGAGGCTCAAAGGAAGATCTTGGGAGCCGAAAGGGGTTCATGTTGCTGCCTCTTACTTTGCACCAGCCTGCAGGCAAGGCTGGATATGGAGCAAGTGGGGTGCTGCGGATCCTGATGCCCCACCACATCAGATGTAGCCCTCCAGTCTTACCTGGGAGCTGTGACCCTGCTCGGCTGCATCCGACCAGGGGTTATGGAGCTGTGGGCTGCCCCAAGCTCAGGGGGAGCTTCCCACCTCTGCCCAGCTGTGGCTTGACCTCGCAACCTGAAGCAATTCTGCCTTACCTGGCAGGATGAAGGTGCAGAGAGATGATGTGATTCCCCCAGTGAGACTCTTGGAGCTTGGAGATGGTGGGCACAGAGAGAAACCTTGTAGTAAACATTTGCCTGCTCTGCTCTTCTCTTCTTGCAGCGCCTGGAGATTTCTGTCTCTCTCTCTGTTGCCCTACCTCCTCCCGGCCTGCCTTTCCCCTCCCAGGCTAGACGATGGGTAGAAATGACCCAGAGGAAGGACGGCTCCCAGCTCCCGTGAAGCCCCCGGATGGTGGCTGGGGCTGGATCGTGCTCCTCGGCTGCTTTGTGATCACCGGCTTCTCCTATGCCTTCCCAAAAGCTGTCAGTGTCTACTTCAAGGAGCTCATGAAAGATTTCCATGTGGGCTACAGTGACACAGCCTGGATCTCCTCCATCATGCTGGCCATGCTCTACGGGACAGGTGACGCTTGGACACACTTTTCCCTCCCCAACTTGTGCCTTCCCTGCCCTGCTACGGGCCCAGACCATGTCCCCATGGGCTCTCCTCACACTCACTGGCCCAGTCATGAACAAACATGCAGAACATTGTCCCACCACTTCTTTTCTAGAAGTGTGCTGCACTTCATGTCCCTGTTTCCTCTGCCCCAGGAGACCTCAGGGGTCACCCCATCTGCCTCTCAGACTGTTGACACGGCGTTTGGTCCCATTGCTAAAGTGCTGCCTCTATCACACCAAGCCCTTCTTGTTCCCAGGGAACAGGGGGATGAAGGCAAGGCAAAGCAGAGGTCTCCACACCGCAGCCTCTCTCCCTTGGCCGGGCCCAAAGGGCATGTATCTAAGCAGCCAAGTAGTGATCTCCGTCACTAGTGTTCCATCTTCCCTGAGTGCCCTGCTTGGGCTGGCTGCCCCTTCCCAGTTCTTTTGTCTCCTTCTGGTCTCCTACTCTGCCTCCTCTGCTTCCTCCCAGGACCAGTATGCAGCATCATGGTGAACCAGTTTGGCTGCCGGCCCGTGATGCTCATTGGTGGACTGCTAGCTTCTTCTGGGATGATCCTGGCATCTTTTACGACCAATATCATTGAGCTTTATCTGACAGCTGGCGTGCTGACAGGTGAGAGCCCCAGGAGTCGTGAGGCAGACACAGACTTACCTGGGAAAGAGCCATGACCATGTCGTATATCATCTCCCTTTAGCATTGCCATATCTAGCATCAGGTCCCTTTACCTATTCACACCTGTGCACAGGAGGCTTCTAGTCCTGAATATTGCACCTGTGGGAGATGCATCTGCTGGATCTAAACAGGCAGGGCCTGGGGTTGAGGGAAGAGGGACAGAAGAAACATAAATGATGTTCGGTGGTCGTGACAACTGGGGTGGGATCAGTATATAGTGGTAGGGAAGAGAGGCACAGTTCCTGTTTAAGGCAGAGGTCCTGTCTAAACATGGCCACAGTTACCTGATTCAAATACACTTGAGGTAGACAGGCTGGTTTAGCCCTTCTTCTCTGGGGGCAACCCTCCAAAATGAAGGAGCGGAGGCTTGTGGGGATCACATGCAGCCCATCATGGGACTTCAGGACTAGGATAGTCTGAGGGGAGTTTTCAGTTTGTTGCAAACCGTGTCTCATGTTCTTGCACTCCCTGTCTCCCTCCTGGCTCTCACCCTCATGTAGGTCTGGGTATGGCGTTGAACTTCCAGCCCTCCCTGATCATGCTGGGCACCTACTTCGACAAGCGTCGGCCTCTTGCCAATGGACTGGCTGCCGCTGGGAGCCCTGTCTTCCTTTCCTCCCTCTCTCCACTGGGTCAAGTGCTGCTGGAGAAGTTTGGTTGGCGAGGTGGGTTCCTTATCATGGGGGGCCTTCTGCTTAACTGCTGCACTTGTGGAGCCGTCATGAGACCCCTGGATATGGGCATGAAGCGGAAGATGGAGAAAGCTCAGGACAAATATGAAGCCAAGGAGATGCTGCCCATAGGAGGGAAATCAGAAGAGGGAATCAGCTCTGCTGATGGAACCAAGAAAGCCAAGAAAGCCAAGAAGAAGCCCAAGAAAGGAAAGAAGCTTCTGGATTTTAGTATCTTTTCCAACCGAGGGTTTATCATTTACACTATTTCAAAGTTCATCCTGGTCTTGGGTCTCTTCGTGCCCCCCATATTGCTGGTCAACTACGCCAAGGACACGGGTGTACCAGACACAGAGGCCGCGTTCTTGCTCTCCATCATTGGTTTCATAGACATCTTTGCCCGCCCAGCCTGCGGCATGGTGGCAGGTTTGAAGTGGGTTCGCCCTCACGTGGCGTACCTGTTCAGCTTCTCTATGCTCTTCAACGGCTTGACAGACGTCTGCAGTGCCAGGGCTAGCAATTACACAGGGCTGGTCATCTTCTGCGTCTTTTTTGGCATCTCGTATGGCATGGTGGGAGCACTGCAGTTCGAGGTGCTGATGGCCATCGTTGGCTCCCAGAAGTTCTCCAGCGCCATCGGGCTGGTCCTACTTATCGAGGCTTTCGCAGTGCTCATCGGTCCCCCCTCTGCAGGTAGGTCTCTTGCTGCAAAACACAGGTGGTTCATTTGTTCATTTGCCATTCCACAGTATTGCAGGTATTTGGCACGGGCATGGTACTTGAAGAAAGACCCTATTTCTCAACTTCAGGTTTCCTCTGGAAGCTGAGATCTGAAGTGAGAGCTCCCAGTCTCACTCTATGCACCTCAACACTGAATCTGAGCAGGGGCAGAAAATGGCAAGTAATATTTCTCTCTCTGCTTTGCTCGGAGGCCTGAGCGATGTCAGGCATACAGAGATATCCAGAGTGAGTGGCACGACTTCCAGTGTCTCTCAGTCCTGATCAGTGGCATTTCCCTCTCATGCTGGCATCCAGGTCTCTGCCTTAACTGTGAACGTTGCATAGAATCATGTTGTGGGCAGGGTCAGGCACATGGTGCAGGCAAACCTTTGAGAGTCTTCAGTAGGACAAGGCGAGGGTCTTTCAAGTTCTCCTTGGTGTCCATGGCCTTTTGATCGGTGCTGTGAATAACGATCTCAATTTGTGTTGGCCTCAATCCCAAGGCACAGGCGTTTTGGTGTCAAACGAGTCAAAACAGTTTATAGAGCCACCTGAAGCATTTGCTGTTACTTTTTTTTAAGAGGATTAAGACACTTACAGCTTCTCAACCAGTCTAGTCTAGGTCACAGTCCCTGGTAAGGTCCATGCCCCACAAACAGCCCAGAAAGAGGCTGTTGAATGGGGAGAGACCTTTCACCCAAGAGATTGGTGTAGGTTACTGTTAAGTGTCTGATCAGGTCTGAGAAAGCCAAATCGTGCCAAAGGCTTATTTCCAAATGAAGTGCAGTTCCCTGCATGTGTGATTTGCGAGGAAGGGTGAGGGACAGACCATGGGCAAATCCCCAGGCAGGAACCACTCTGTTTCTTCCCGCAATCCCTTCCTTTAGCAGCAACATGTGGGCTAAAGCCCATCAGTGAAGACCTCTGCATGAGTGATCTTTTCCCCAGCACATACCACCAGTAATGAGCAAAACCCGCCCTCAACAACTCCACCCAGCTCTCAGGTAAAAATTAGTGGCCAAGAGAATACTCTCTTGATGTTAATGATAATTTATGTCCCATCTTACAAGCTGTGGGGCAGTCGGCAGTCCCAGGCCAGGGAGGGTCAAGAAATACGTGTCTCAGAGGCAGCTGCAAAGAGATCGTGGGGGAGAGGAGGATTTAACAGCTCCTTGCTCCAAGGAGCAAGGCACACCAGTGGGTGATGATGGGGGACATCCCTTAGCCCTCCTGCCTCAGTTTAGCTCTGCCTTGTACGGTGCGTGCATAAAATGGGATGCAGACGGTGCAGGGTCACCAAAGAACGGTATTGGGGGGAGCCAAGTCAAGGTTCCCACCTCCCCCCCCAAGCAGGACCCCCCTGGTATGAGAAGCTTGAGTGTGCTGGCAAACCCGAGGGCTCGGACTCGGGGGAGCAGTGCTCGGCTGGAGGAAGGGGGTTGAACAAAGTGGCTTTGTTTAGTGTAATCCTCCTGAGCTGCTTCCCACTCCGTGGGGCTGAGGGGGTTTGGCACAGGATAAGCTGCACACACGCACACGCGCGTGTGCACACAGGCTCCTCGCTCGCCGGCCGGCTTGGGTGACCAGGGGCACATTCACCTGGGGAGGAATTTTCTGCGTGTCTCCCATGACCGCTCCGGAGCGTGCCCTGGGGCTGGATTCAGGCCATGCACCACAGTGCAGCAGGGACCGGGGGGGTCACACGTGCAGTCAGGAGCACGCAGGACCGGGATGAAGCCTCTGGTCACCTTGGTCCCATCCTGACTGCAGCAGGGCAGGTATGCAGACTGCCCTGCACCAAGGACTGGGAACCCTCCCTCCGTTGACAGTTCCGGTGCATTTAGAAGATGCATTGAGAACGTCTCTTTGGCAGAGAAATCATCAGGTGTGAGCCAACCAAAGGGATTTCTCTGCCGAAGAGATGTTTCTTCTCCTGTTCTGAGTGTTTTCCTGACATGATAGCTTAAGAAATAGCAGCGCCTTCTCAAAATTTGTTTCTTTTCTGAGACTGGACAAGCCAAATCCTCAGAGGCTCGTCTCACCTTGGCAAGAAGAAAATGGCCCACCACGACACGAGACCATAACATCAGTGTGTCACAATTATTTAACCTTGTTCAAACAAAGGAAGACACCAACCCTGCACTCTTACAGTACTTTTCCTGGTGGTACAGTGTGGGTCTTGCCCAGGGTGATTTTTAGATATTCAGGCTTCTTGCTCTTCCCTTGACAAACGAGTTCTCAGCCAAATGCAAGTGCTGTCCATGCAGGAGTGCGTAGGCTGAGGCTAATCGGCTCATTTCTTCTCCAACCATCAGGCCGCTTGGTTGATGCTCTCAAGAACTACGAGGTGATCTTCTACCTGGCGGGCTCAGAGGTAGTGCTCTCTGCTCTCTTCCTGGCCATGGCCACCTACTGCTGCCTGAACCGAGGGAAGAAGAAGGAACCTCCCCCGGAGAAGAATCCCTCCGCGGGCGGTGGGAGCGACACCGAGGAAGCAGAGTCCGACGTACAAGAAGCCGAGGAGCACAGCAGTGATAACCACCAGCCGGTCCACAGCACCGACAACGCTGTGGTGGTGGCCAGTGAGGAGGCCAACCACGTGGCAGAGGAGCAGAGCGGGGAGGGAGAAGGGTGTCCCGAAGGGGATGGGGAGGTGTTGGCACGAGACGGCTGCAACGCTGACCAGATGGTGGAGAGGGACAGGTTTTAGCCAGGGCAGAGGAACAGGGATGTATAAAACTGGCCTTGTTCGCATGCACCTCAGCGTGGGAGGGTGGGTGGGATACGGGGTGGAGAAAGCTGAGACAAAAGCAGATGTAAGAAGTAAGAGGAAGAGGTGTAAGAATAGCTGGTCCTTATGTACATATGTCCACATAACTACTCAGTGATACGTTTACTTGCATCCTGCACCCGTGCTGGTACAGCACAGGCTCAGAGCAGCCCAAACACCAAAAAAGAAAAGAAAAAGAAAAAAAATCTTCTTTCCTCACTTCCAAACCAGCCCTGGAGAAAGTCTTTTGAAGAGGCTGCCAAGGACTCTCCTTTTCCTTCTGCATTTCACAATACAAAACACAATTAGAGACTCTTTGTAATCAGATCTGGTACGCTTTGGTCTGGTGTCAGTGTTTCCTCTGCCCCACTTCCACGGTCAGGATAGCACCAGGCTAGCTGGCAGTAGGTTTAGGAGGTGGTGTAACTCGTAGCTATCATCCAGGCCACCTCCAGCTGCAGCCAGCATGGAGGTAGACACTGTGTTCCCTGCACTACCTCCCTCGTGCACTGCCAAACCGGTGGGACACCGGCTCCGACCACCTCCATCTGGAGCATCTTTTGTGGGCGGTAAAGCTGGGACAGTGACATGATGCTGCTTTTCCAAGTAGGGAAGCGCTGGGTTAGAGGCCGCTGCTGAGGTGCAAGAAGAAGATGTCTAAGAAAGACTAATGCCATTAGGTGAGCAGCCATGAGATGGAGCCTCGCCGACAGGAATAGCAGCAAGCCAGCTTTATCTAGGCTGAAGTGAGTCCTGTTGACGTGTGAAAGGAACAAGTTGGTCCCTGTGGGGGTGGGAGTTTCAGGGCAGGTAAATAACCGTGTCCCAAGTGATTATCCACTCAGCGGGAATGGCACCAGAGGCGTGTACGTTTTCCTTTTTTAAACAGAGAAAACCCCCTTATGTAAAGGAATCAAAGGTAAGGCAGAAGGACAAGCCACAGCCCCTGGGTGCCACTAACAAGGGTGTTGGAGCACGTGGTAAGGCAGGCATGACTCCCTCACCCCGCTGCAGTGGTGGATTTCTAGACTCAGAGAGGACAACCTTCCCTGGCATGCTTAAACCACTCCTAATCTGCTTTAGGACTGGATTTTTTTATAAACACCCCTGGCCAAAGCCTTTTCTTCCGGTTTCCTGAACTGCTTCACCTCAGAGGCCCTGGGGGAACCTGTGACTACAGCGAGGGATCAAAAACTAAGCAGAGGGTGACAGGGAAGGCAGCTTATGGGACCATCAAAATAGGCGTTTCATTCCAGCCCAGACTGACTACAAATTAACAGGTAACGGGCGAAGCCTGCAGGACCCGTAAAGCCATTTAAACCCAGTGGGGGAGCGGGGACGTGAAGGAAAGGGTTTCATTCTAGATGCTCCCAAGGCAAGAGCAGTAAATGATGAGCAAAATAAAGCTGCTGAAGGATGTCAGGTTAAGAATAGACATAAGAACTGGAAAGTGGAGGGGAGACAGTAAACCCCATGGGGCTGTGCCCTGTCCCACCATGGCTCACACCACCATTGTTAGCTCTGATTGTGAGCCAGTCACAGCAGTGACTTTGGGCTTTTTCCTAATCAAACCCACTTCGAAACATCCCAGATCAGACTAAGCACCATGACAAACCCCAGATGCAAAGCTCTGGGAGAACGAGAAGCAGCAGCAAGGGTGATGGAGCCCTGTAGGCATTCATTCACTGCTCCGCAAGCTTGCGTTCTCCCCTCCACACAAGGTAAGATCACCACTTCTGCTCTGCTCGGCCAAGTTGCTCTGCAGCTCTTTCCCCAGCAACCCCAAACCCCCATCCCCCAGACCGGGTTTTTCTTATTCACCAATATCCCCTCCAAGAAGCACCTCACAACTTCCCAGAGGTCCAAGGTCCAAAGCATGAAACCAACTGCCCTTGTCAGCACCAGGCACGTCACCAGAACAAGGTCCCCTGTTTCCTTGTCACCAGTCAACTTTTCCCACTAAGCCTCCCACTCTTAAATCTTTTCACAAAAGCACATAAAGGCCCTTAGGGCACAAGATCTCGCTACAGAGGGTGCTGTAAGATACCCAGCCCTCTTCCTTCCCCTCCATCAGTCAGATTGCAAAAAACCTGGCTATGCCGCCTTCCACTTTGGGTTGTTGGCTTTCAGGCAGGCTCTACTGAAGCATTTTCTCTGTTCCTCTTAACTGCTCCGTATTTTGGCACAACTAACAGCTCTGAAAGAGGATCAGGGACTTAAGCATCAGCTCAAGCTTGTGATGCAACAGCTGAGCTGTGGGGAGAAGCTGGCCCTGGAGGGGTGCAAGGATGCCACTGGGCAGGACTGAGGCAACTGGTGGCTTTACAAGGCTGGTGTTCCCCTGGGAAGCCAAGAGGCAGAGAAGCTGGTATTACATGGGGGACTGGCCTTGCTACGGCATTTGTAAGCCGCCTCCTCTGGAAACCTGTGCTGCAGTGACTACCACAGCTTGGCATAGAGATTGATTATCCACCACTATGAGAAAGAAAAACAATGGCCAGCACATGACACCCATCTTCCCATCATATTTTAAGATTAAAACCAACAGAGGATGAGCAAACAAATCTCTAAAGAAAACCCATGAAGGGCAGGAAACGAAATGTCACATTTTTCTTTATTAGAGACAACAATCAGTACATCAGAGTCCGTTTAAACCTTCCAGAGCAGCTTGACCACGGATGGCTTTCTTCCAGGCACCGACAGAGATGACGAAGCTCCAAAAACAAATCAAAGAGAAAAAACAAAACAAAACAAACATGTCGATCATAAATTAATGTCCTTAAATAACTTCTCTCGCTACCACTAGAATGTAATGACAGACAAGTCAAAACCCTTGACTCTGAGCAGCACACCACTCCTGGCAGTTGTGCTGCCCGCTAAAAGAGAAAGTGCCATCTGTATCTGGGATCAGCCCACAAGGGTAGAGGGAGAAGAGAAAAGGAAGGAGGAAAGAAGCAGCCTCACTTACCTTGGTTTTCCTTTCCCCCCTTCCCTTGTGCCGGGGAATGGGACATTAGCTACTGCTGCTGGCTGGCCCAGAGGCAGCACAAAATGGTTGCGCAGAGAGGAAAGCAGGAGGTGGTACGTTATTCATGCTTTGCACTAAAAAAATCTCAAAGCCTCGGCCTTCAGGCAATGTCTTCCTCTCTCCATACAGCTTCCTGTCTCTCCTCTTTAGTTTAAGGATGGGACATCTCCTTTGTGGTTCTAAGGTGGCTCCTCCTGGCACCTGCACAAGGAAAGAGTGTGCAGGACTGGCTGCACATCCTCAAGAAGGATGTATTGTCCATTGCAAGGAGCCCTAAGAGAGGTGAACGATGGAACAGAACAGCTTTGCTGTTATTCCCAGGAACCTGTCTGCCTCGGACAAGCACGTTCACCTCAGCATCTCTGCCAAGCAGGGGGGCTCCTTCCTGAGCCAGGTCCTTCCTTCCCACAGGGAAAGGCAGAGCCACATCCTGCAGGATTCTAGCCCTGGGGTGTAGCTACAGAGTGCGCACATGGTGCCGGCTGTGCAGGAGCTCAGGGACTTTGAAGAGGATGGTAGCCAGGGGAAGAGACTTCTAAATCTTTGCAGCAGGGTTGCAGCAGCCCAGCATACCAGCGCCTGCTTTGAGAGCTTCCACCAGCCCCTTAGTTGGGGGGGTGACCGGATCACGTATGCCACCACTGGTTCTAGCCATCTGTTTGGACTTGCTCCTATTTCTTAGAGAGCTGGGAGTGGTGGGAGTGATCATCCTGCAAAAATCAGTCCTGTAGCCCATGGGGACAGATGGAAAAGACAGAGGAAGCTTAAAACAGGCCAGAGAATGGGAAGCTTGAAGACAGCGAGCAGTGGGGTGAAGGAAAACAACGCTGGTGCTAAGACTTTCCCGTAGCACACAGGGAGGACAGAAGGGGGCTGTTCTCGCCATTTGTAATCATCTCCAGATGTTTAACTGGCTTCCACATGCCAGAGGGGAGCAGTGCACCCCACATGCTCAGCAGTGCCCTGTCTGCACACAGAGTCACATGGCGGTGCGGTTGGCAATTTTCCTTCCCACACCTCAGTACCAGAGTTGGGCAGCAGAAATCTCTGAAGGAAAAAGGAATAACCGGGCAAACAAGCAAGGGAAGAAAGAGGAAAGCAGAGGTTGGTCCCAATCCAACCAGCAACCCCCACCCAAAGCAGAGGAGGAATCCCAGGCTGGACATACACAGAAAGTCATGGAGGATGAATTGCCATGTGAAATACATGTTTTTCTAACAGTCTGCAAAGTCTTTCCTCTGGCCATGCTGGCACACTCAGGCATCATCAATGAGCTTTTCACCATTTGCGTCCTCCTTCCCGCTACCCTCTCTCTCGCTTCCTCCTTCTTCTTCTGCCCCATCCGTGTACGTGTCCTTCTGCCCATAGCTGAGAGTAGTTCGGGCAAGGTCCACCTCAATGGGAAAGACGTCCGCATCTCGGAGCACAGCGTAGCAGTCGTCGTAGTACTTGGACATTGTGGAGACAAAACGCTGGAGCTGGAACACGATGTCCTGCACTGTAGCAGAGACATGTTGGGAACAAATCAGGTGAAAACCCCCTTCCCAAACAGTGTGAAGGCTGTGATCAAGCCTCCCTTGCCAGCATTAGATAGAGTCTCCTACGCATTAATCCCTTTTGGCCCCTGAGGGAGGATGTCTCAGGCACAGCCACAAAAGGGTTCTTCAGCAAAGACTTCTAAGCTGAGATGAAGAAGCATGAAGGCCAAAGCCATGTCTGCCTGACCCCTTCAGGTGCTGGACACAGCAGTGGTACTCACCGTGTTTCTGGTCCAGGAGTTCTATTTTCTCTAGCACGTCCTTCCTCATCTTGGCAAAGCGTGTGCGAGCCTCCTGCCGGCAACGTAGGATAAGGCGGTATTCATAGTTCCCAGTGCTGACCCGGTAGAGGGGTTCACCCAAAGCCTGCCAAAAACATGGCGCCATTTTAGAGGCTCCCACAGCAGTGCTTGTACACAGAGTTTGCCTACCGATACAGACTCACAATGACCTTGCGTTATTACAGCCCTCTCAAGCTCACTGGAGCTGCAGTCAGGAAGCACGGAACACAAGGAATGCTGAGCCATGTCAACAACTGGCAGTCAACAGGGCCATTCTGAAGGCCAAATACATGCCAACCACAGTAAAAAAAAGCATCACTACTAAGCAAAGACAAAAGTTCAGGCACCTTGCAACCCAGCATGGAGAAGTGGCATGGCTTCTTATCTGAACTATTAAGACAGGCACTATGAACAAACAAGTCTAGGGTCTGAGGGATATATTAATTTATATCAATCACACAAAAAATTCTGCCC